CTTTTTTTCTGTACCTTTTTCCTGCATCTGCCTCAAAAGTATGTGACAGTTTTTATCACAATGGATTTCTGTTTTGAAGGAGGACATTTTAATTACCAAACAAAAGACCAGGAGTGCAAAATTACACCGCTGCACAGCAATGTGGTGTCAGCTAATAACATAAAAAGAAAAGGAGTACTAGTGGCACCTTAGAGACTATCTAATTTATTTGAGCATCAGCTTTCGTGAGCTACAGCTCACTTGCATCCGATGAAGTGAGCTGTAGCTCACGAAAGCTTATGCTCAAATAAATTGGTTAGTCTCTAAGGTGCCACTGGTAGTCCTTTTCTTTTTGCGAATACAGACTAACACGGCTGCTACTCTGAAACCAGCTAATAACATCCCTGTCTAACAGCAGACCCTCTGGTATTGTTAAGATAGAGCAGTGTATTGATGAACAGCAGCAACCATATTGGCATTGCAGTCACTCTGTTTAGAATAATGACTTGTGTCAACCCTTAAACACCATGACCGAAATGCTTGCACACACACAAACACACACACACTCCAAGGGACCCCACTTAGCAGACCAGAAAGAATCCAATTCATGGATTTCACTTGGAAGTAGCTTATGGAGAAAAATCATAAGACAACACTAAGGCCTTGTCTACACTGGGAATTTGTCTCATTCCAGCCATCAGCAGCTAGCCACTGATTTCTACCCCCTCATTTCAAGCAGGGGTAAGTTCCACTGGGAAAATTGCAGCTTTCCTTCTTTACATTAGGGGTTTGCACCTGTGCTGGCTTACTAGTTTCTGGCTACTAATGGCTGAAATTGAGACATATTCCCATTGTAGATATGCCTAATCCATTGGTTCTCAAAGTTTTATATTGGTGATCCCTTTCACACAGCAAGCCTCTGAGTGTGACCCCCTTTATAAATTAAAACACTTCTTTTTATATTTAACACCATTATAAATGCTGGAGGTAAAGTGGGGATGGAGGCTGACAGCTCATGACCCCCCATGTAATAACCTTGTGACCTCCTGAGGGAGTCACGACCCCCAGTTTGAGAAACCCTGGCCTAATTGATGGACTACACTTCAGGTTAGCGCAGTGCCAAATATGGGGCTGAATTCAGCAGATTGCCGTATCCAACAACGTCAAGCACTCAGTGGAAAAGGATTATGTAATGAATGGTGATCAAGAAGTTCACTGGAAACCTTGGTCAGCATAAGGGAAGGGATAGGGTGGAGGTCATGATGGAGAAAAGCAAGAAGTGCGTGGCCACATTCACTGCCTGCAGATCTGTGGCTTTTATATTAAGAGGTTCTTTAGGTGGGAAGCTGAAAGTTATTATATTAACACAAAATGAATGAGGAGTTTGCTGAATCTGACAGCATTGGATGAAAAATGCCACTGAGCAAATGCTGAATAGTAAGAGGTAGAATTAAATCATCAAACAATTAGAAAATAATTAAGTAATGACATGTGCTATTAAGCAATAAACTCTAAGTGCTGGTTCAGTGGTGAAGACATGGGTTCCTGACATCATAAATTCCAGATCTGGACAGTTACCATATAGTAGTATCCTGCTGTGGGAGCTGATGATGATGTCAGCTATTATTTCTGTAGAAAATAAGGGTGGGTGGTAGACCCACAATGAAAAGTAATAGGAAGAGAATGTTTATTATGGCTGGAGCAGCTCCAAGAAAGAAGAAAGTGGAGCAACAGTGCTGCATTCAGGGGGGAACAATGCACTGCAACCCTGCTAATGATGCCAAGCAACAAGTAACCAGGAATGCTGTGAATCTATAATGAATGTGCCGTGTTCTTGCCCATATACCAGAGGGCAGCAATAATGATGATAATAATTATTATGACTACCATTTCACTAACTAGAAAAGTATTCTACAAACATTGCAAAGCAATTTAGAAAATATATATAGAATAATACATATTTATATACATATATGTGAGTGTGTTTATTATCTAAATATAAAACATAACAAAATGTGTTAGAGAATGTTGTTTACGTTGTAAAGTCAAGAATTCAAAAGTCAGGAAGTACGACGTGTGTGGTTGTCTGCACCCCCCAACCTTGTCTGTCTGTTCTGTGCACTGGCTGAGGTGGTGTGTGGGGGGGTCGACCTGTGGAAAAATAGTATTTTATTATGTGCTTAACTAGTTATAATGCATACATACAAAGAGGCATGACTAAGTTTGCCTGGGCAACCATAAATCTGGCATTCCCTAACTTTCAAATACTTGGCTTTGCAATTAAACAACATTCCTTCGATGTATTTTTTGTGTATAATTTCTTAGGGTTTTTTAAGGGGAAAAACAAATTCTATTATGTGCAGGTTTACCAGGGAAGGTGAGCCTGCCCTTTTCACTCCTTTTACAGCTGCACTGGCAGCTCCCTGGTGTTCTCAGTGCAGTGCCTACTGTTGCTGCTGCTTTGGCAGTGGTGTGAGCCCAGCCTTGGAATGGTCAGTGATTTTGGCAGGCTCCCAACATTTCCATAAGAAAAGCAAGTGGAAGAAGAGAAAGGGTGATTTTTCAGTATCTTGATGTTAGAGCCAAACTAAATGGAATTTCACGAGACAAAATAAAAATAAAAATCTGTAGCCTAAAAGGATTGCCCTTGCTGCATATCAAAGGCCTGCTGCAAATGATGGTGACATGAGAGATCTGCAAAAAAAAAGGTAGCAAGAATCATAGAATCCTAGGACTGGAGAGACCTCAAGAGATCATCAAATCCAGTCCTCTGCATCCAAGCAGGACTAAGTATTATCTGACCATCCCTGACAGGTGTCTGTCTAACCTGCTCTTAAAAATCTCCAGTGACGGAGATTCCACAGTCTCCCTAGGGAATTTATTCCAGCGCTTAACTACCCTGACAGGAAGTTTTTCCTAATGTCCATTCTAAACCTCCCTTGCTGCAATTTAAGCCCATTGCTTCCTGTCCTATCCTCAGAGGTTAAGGAGAACAATTTTTCTCCCTCTGCCTTATAACAACCTTTTATGTACTTGTAGGTATATCCTTTATTATGGAAAGTGTTACACCACTTTATGCAGCCCTGACTGTACATGCTCAGGGTTTGTGTGTCTCCTTCTTCATACAGAGAAGCAAGAATTGATAATTGATGTGCCCCCAGGAAAAGCTCAGAAGGATTATCACGAGGGTCAGGAGCTGAAGATTCAAGGGGAGGTTTGGGGACTGAAATGTAGGGCAGAGTGGCGTTTGAAAACGTGGACGGTTCAAATCGAATTGGCTCTGAGCGACCGGCGCAACCCGGATCCCCAAGGGAGAGGAGAAGTCCCCAGGAGCGTGAGTGAACTGCCGAGGTGGGCTCATCGCCACGCTGAAGCTAAGCCCGGTTGCACAACCCCCCAGGAGTCAGGAGTGGGTAGCTGCGGGACAAGCACTCGTGCAAGTGCCTCCAGAGGAGGAAGCGGAGGGGGAATGAGGAGGGCTGCAGAAGAGGGGCGGGGAGTTGAACACGGAGCGGCGGCCCGGTGCTGGGGGGAGGACTAGTCACTAGCGCCCTGTTCCCCTGGGCTTTGCCCTCCGGCTCCGCGGGTCGGGGGGCGCTAGGACCCTGCCCCAGACGGCAGCTGGGAATCCCCCCGGGGGGGTAGGTAGAGGCTGCCGGCGGCTCAGCAGAGAGCCGCAGCTCCAGCCGCGCAGGAGAGAGCCGGCCGGCGGGCACGGCAGCGCGGAGCCCAGCCCCAGCACCTCCGCCCCGGGACGCCTCTGGCCGCCCCGCCCGGCTAGGGAGCTCCGAGCGTGTGAAGTTCGCCCGGCTCGGCCCGGCCCGGCCCCTCTCTCCGGCTTAGAGGCAAGAGGGGTTCAGGCAAAGGAGCGCTCGGGCGGGGTGAATGCTGCGGCGCCGGGGCTGCGAAGCGATGGCAGGCGCCGAAAGTTTGGGCCAGCGGGACACCTGTCTGTGCCGCGGGTTTGCGGTCTCCTAGCCCAGAATCGCTGCTGCTGCTGGGGTGTCTGGGGGTGTGTTGAGGGGATGCTGCGGTGTGTGTGCTGGGGTGTCTGGGTGTGTGTGTGTGTGTTGGGGTCTGAGTGTGTGTTGCGGGGATGCTGGGGTGTGTGTGCTGGGGTGTCGGGGGTGTGTTGAGGGGATGCTGGGGTGTGTGCTGGGGTGTCTGGGTGTGTGCTGTGGTATGGGTGTGTGTCGAGGTGTGTGAGGGGGTGTCTCTGGGTGCTGTGGTATGGGTGTGTGTGTGTGTGTGTTGGGGTCTGAGTGTGTGTTGTGGGGATGCTGGGGTGTGTGTGCTGGGGTGTCTGGGGGGGGGGTGTTGAGGGGATGCTAGGGTGTGTGTGAGAGGGTGTCTGGGGTGTGTGCTGTGGTATGGGTGTGTGTCGAGGTGTGTGAGGGGGTGTCTCTGGGTGCTGTGGTATGGGTGTGTGTTGAGGGGATGCTGGGGTGTGTGTGCTGTGGTGTCTGGGTATGTGCTGTGGTATGGGTGTGTGTTGAGGTGTGTGAGGGGGTGTCTCTGGGTGCTGTGGTATGGGTGTGTGTTGAGGGGATGCTGGGGTGTGTGCTGGGGTGTCTGGGTGTGTGCTGTGGTATGGGTGTGTGCACTGTGGTATGGGTGTGTGTTGGGGTCTGGGTATGTGCTGAGGGGTTGCTAGGGTGTGCGTGCTGGGGTGTGTGAAGGGGTGCTGGGTGTGTGTGCTGGGGTGCCTGGGTGTGTGCTGTGGTATGGGTGTGTGTTGAGGGGGTGCTGGGGTGTCTGTGTGTTGGGATGTATGAGGGGGTGCTGGCTGTGTGTGTGTGCTGGAGTATGGGTGTATGTTGGGCTCTGTGAGGGGTTGCCAGGGTGTGTGTGTGAGAGGGGTGCTGGGGGGGTGCATGTGTGTGTGCTGGGGCAGGGAGGACCTTTACATGTAAAACAAAACCCTTCCTAACTCTTGAGCAGCGCAATCAAAGGGCCCCTGGTGTTTTGGGGGAAGACGCCGGAAGTAACTGGGAGGAGGGGTGATTGCCTGATGCGGAGTGCAAGGGAGAGATCAGGGCGGTTCCTTTGAACCAACTGACTTTCCCTGTCTCTCCTTGCTCAGGACTCCTGAAGTGCAGCCAGGGAGCTGGTGAGAGCATCTGGGGAGCCCGGGGGACCAGCAGGAGATCTCCCAAGCAAGGCCACATGGAGAACGAGACCTTGGCCTTTGGACCCCCTCTGGGCAACAGCAGGGTCAACCAGACCCTAGGGAAGATGCCCCAGCACCCTCTGGAGCTGCAGGTGGTGACCATCCTGCTGGTGCTGCTGATCTGTGGGGTGGGCATCGCGGGGAACATCATGGTGGTACTGGTGGTGCTGCGCACCAAGCACATGGTGACCCCCACCAACTGCTACCTGGTGAGCCTGGCCGTGGCAGACCTGATTGTGCTGCTGGCCGCAGGGCTGCCCAACATATCGGAGGTGGTGGCCTCCTGGGTGTACGGCTACGCCGGCTGCCTGTGCATCACCTACCTGCAGTACCTGGGCATCAACATCTCAGCATGCTCCATCACCGCCTTCACGGTGGAGCGCTACATCGCCATCTGCCACTCCATCAAAGCGCAGCTGCTCTGCACCGTGGCCCGGGCCAAGCGCATCATTGCTTGTGTCTGGCTCTTCACCTCCCTCTACTGCATGATGTGGTTCTTCCTGGTGGACACTGCCCAGGCGACCTTCTCAGACGGGGTGCAGGTCAGCTGTGGCTACAGGGTCTCCAGGAACCTATACCTGCCCATCTATTTTCTGGACTTCACTGTCTTCTATGTCATCCCACTGGGGCTGGCCACTGTCCTGTATGGCCTCATTGCCCGCATCCTCTTCATGAGCCCCCTGCCTGCCAGCCCCCAGGACTCCGGCAGGCTCAGCTTCATGCACCAGGGCAAGCCGCCCAGCTCCAGCTCAATGAAGCTCTCCTGCCAGGGCAACAATGGGGCTCTGAGCTCCAGGAAACAGGTACATCCTGAAAGCCGGTGTGCTGCCCCCCTCCTGCTGCACCTGAGAGGGGGTGGCATTGGGAGGATGGGGGGGCACAAGACAGGTGCGGTGGGGCAGGGACTGGAGGTATGAGAGAGGTGGTGTTCCTGTGTTCCTAAAGAAGTCTTCACTCTTTGTCTCTCACGTGTTATAAAGACTGGGAATTGGTCTGAATGGCATTTTTTTCTTGGCGTTTCCAGGTGACATCCTGGAAAGGGTATGGGCGACTTAGTGCATTACCCCCATTATGGTCAGGATGCATTAAAGGAACCCGCCTGGTGGCTGCTTAGAAAGTCATCATCTCTCTAAACAGAAAGCCTGCGGAGTTGCCTTACTTTGAGGGTTGGCAGCAAAGGCCTTCTCTGTGGGGCAAAATCTTTTAGAACTGCGACTCTGATCCCTGACTTGGCAGGGGCCCTGGAATGCCATCTAATCAATTACACCTGATGGGTGCTTAGGGATCCTTTTCTCCTGGAACACTCCCCAAAGCTGGCAGGCTTCCCAACAGAGCCCAGAGCTTCTTGGATTTAAAAGAGTGATCGTCCCACTCACAGAAGACAGCGAGGTTGTGTGGGGGGAATGGGGCTGAGCAGAGGAATAGTGCTATTGCCTTTATTGCTATTTCCGGGTTTTCTTTCCCTTCCCTGTGTAATGAAATCGTCAGGGGTAAGAGGAGAAAAGGAGTGAAAGCTGATAAAAGGCTGAATTCTTTTAAAAGGCCCCTGACTACACAGGGCATTGGTTCCCCACAGTCCCTGTCTCAGCAGAGAAGGCTGAGAAGCGACTGCCTTGTGCTACACACACCACAAGAAAGGGAAGCATTCCGCAGGAATGGAGCAGTCCTGGCTAGAGGCGGATATTCTTGCAGGCTAGCTATTAATTCGCTCCATGATTAGTAAGGTGTTCGATTACCATAATGTGACCTGAGCTTCACTCCCAAACTGGAATCATGATTAATTAACCCTTCCAGTTTAAAATCGCCAAGGAAGAGGAGATCTGATGAGACACACCTCAGACAGGAGCACCATTACCCAAACTCCCATCCCTTCCCTCTGAACTCCTTTCTGAGCCAATGGCATATGAATTAATTCTAGGGAGCAAACTCGCCTTGAGTAAAAAGAGGAGCTGTCGTCCAGCAGGGGGAGACGTTTCCCTTTTCTTTGCTGGTTAGTCCGTGTTTGGCTGGTTCGTTCCTGTTAGCATTCATCATTCTGTCTGGATGTGATTTCATCCTCTGCCTAACCCACACTTTAGCGGGACAATAACTATCTGAAACCTTATTATCCTCCTTCCCTTAGCGGACAATCACAGTGTCCAGATGTGGGACCTCTATTTTTACATCTGCACTTTTACTTTATTGTGTATTAGTTAACTTTTCCATTGGTGCAGGGAGGCAGGAGAGGTGCCATTTCTAGAGCTGCCTAGCGAATCCAAGCAAGGAGTGAGTCATTACATCTCAGTGAGGAGAAAATTTTGAAATACCAGGTGCAATAGAATAGAGCTCTGTACTTGGATCTCTTAAGCTGTCCATGTGTGTGTGTGTGTTTCTAGTCTTTCTCCTTTAACTCTTGGTCTCTTCTCTTCCCATGGAAAGATTTAGATCACATACTGAATCCTTGTAAAATAACTGGGTGAAAAGTTAGCATTTGAAATAAAGGAACTGGAGTGGTTTAGACGTGTAAATAATAGGCAAGTGAGGCCCTTTGGGATTATGCTTGATAATTTACAGCAGAAATGGACAGGCAGAGGATTTAGATGTGGATTTGGAGACTGCAGTTTGCAAGGCCAATTCTAGCCTGGTGTAAGTGGGTGCAACTCCCTTGACTTTAAGGGCTTAAACCTGGGCTGACTTTGGCCCTTAGTGTCTACAAATTGTAAGGATCATATACTCTTGAGGCATGGATGCACTGATACTGATAAGTGCTGTGTAAAGGCTGGTTGGGAAATGGGACTCTCTTTTGGTGTCCCCTTTTTTCCATCAGAAAATTTCAAAATTTGAATTTTTTCAACCAGTTCTAGTGCTGTGTGTGTAGTGAGGGAAGGTATACGACTTGGCATGCTGCAGACAGCCTATTGTATCTTCAAAGCCCTGGGCTGACATTAACTAGTTCTCCTAGCACCCTTGTAAGAAAGAGGAATATGATCAACGTTTCACGCCAGCTCAGCATTTATGTTAAGGGCAGTTATAAAGAGGACTGGGATCAATTCTTCTCCATCATGTCCACTGAAGGTAGGGCAAGAAGTAATGGGCTTAATCTGCAGCAAGGAAGATTTGGTAAATTATTAGGAAAAACTTCCTATCTATAAGGGTAGTGAAGCTCTGGAATAGGCTTCTAAGGAAGGTTGTGGAATCCCCATCATTGGAAGCTTTTAAGAACAGGCTGGACAAACACCTGCCAGGGATAGTCTAAGTTTCCTTGGTCCTGCCTCAGTGCAGAGGGCTGAACTAGATGACCTCTTTAAGTCCCTTCCAGCCCAACATTTCTATGATGCTATAAATACCAACTTAAATACCTTAGAGGAAAAATACTGACTGGAAAGAAATACCAGAAACCCCCATTTCAAGGTTCTGTATGTGAACTGTGTTCAATATATCGGAACTCCAAATACTTATGTTCTCTATATCACATTGACTAGGAGTTCCTGCAATCACACCACCTAGGTTGTGATCTTACAATTAAGTAGAGTCAGTACAAGGATGAGAGATTTCCGTGGCTGACTCCAGTCCCTAGGAAAAGTGAGGTTTGTAAGTAAACAGTAAAGCTAATACTGTACAGGTGCCCCAGTGGCAAAGCCTTCCTTATGGAAGGGACTACTGAGAAGATGAGCTATATAGCCCTGTAAGGGTGAAAAACATTTGGTGGGGAGGCAGTGGAAATGCCTCTTCTGTATCTGAAAGTTTGGTACAGGCAAGAATATATAACATAGCTGGCCTCTGATTGTTCTGCTAATCTCTCTCTGTCCTGCATTGCATAAGGGCACATCTCAGGAGTGAGAAAGGATGCAGGTTTTGTGATAATTTATTTCCAGATGTTCATTTGTGTAAAGGACACAATCAACCTCAGAATGTTTTCTGTGCCATTTTCTCACAGATGATTCTGTTTGTCATGGAAAAGGAGAGAGGACAGATATATGCAGGAGGCTCTTTATCTGGAAATATTTTCTTATGCCACGGCTTGCCGAACATTGTATTTCATGTGGATTCCTGATGCACTTTGTTAGATGTGTCCTGCTGAGTCCAGACAAACAGCGTTTGAAAGGGGTCTGTTTAAAGAGACACTGATGGAAAGGAAGCAGGCTAGCTACACTATTAGCTCAGTTATCAAACAACTATCTGACAAGCCTTCTAGTTAGGCACTCCAGGCTCATTAATGCCTGCTTCAGAAATATATTAGTAACCACAGTCTTAAGGGTGAGACATAAAGCCAAAGCTTATGGTCATTACACATCCCCTTGCATCAGAATAAGGGTGCTAATCTGAATGTCATGGCTGAGTTTCCACTCTCTTCATTGCCCAGGCAATTTCAGCTGGATCCAGAATTCTTCTTAATTTCCTGATCCAAACACTTGTATTGTTGTGCACCGTTAACCAGTTGCTATGTTCCACCCCAAAGGTGGTTGCACTTCAGTAGTAGGGTAAGTAAGCCCAATTTCTCTGAAAAAACCTTCATTGATTTTTAGGACTAAACTCAGATGGAACCATTAAGGTTTTGAGGTGATACTTTTGTTTTTTCTGCTTCCCAGATAGGGTCAGAATTATAGAAGGCAAGGCTATTCTCACAGTAGTTTCATGTGTGGACAGAAGTGCCCTCAAATCTCATGCAAAATCTTGCTCACCCAAGCTTGCCAACCCAGGTCTGGAGACCCACATGGTACAGAGAGTACTGAGAAGTGCACACATTTATGGAGACTTATCTGCACCAAACTTGAACTTAACAATTTTTGAGGTCCATTCAGCACTCAGACAATGAGTCTAGCATAAATACACATCAACATTCTGAGTTCAATCAGTAGGACAAGAAATTATGCCTCTAGGCTTAATTGATATGCAACTTCCCACTTCATAGGAATATACATAGGAAATGCCATACTGGATTAGAACAGTGGTCCACCTAGTCCAGTATCATGATTTTAACAGTTGTTGGCACGCAAGCTTAAGAGGAAAGTGCAAGAAACCCTACTCTAGGCAGTCATGGAATAACTTCCTCCCAGAGGAAGTGTCTTCTTAACCTCCACTAGTTAGTTTTGCTTATGCCCTGAAGCATGTGTGTTTATGTCCCTAATTCACTTAGGTCTTGATCCTGCACCACTGAAATGAATGGGAGTTTCATCATTAGATTCAATGGGAAGAGGATCAGGTCCCTATATCAGAAACAAAGTAACCATCTCCTGTCTGGAAGGCAATGATCTTTATGGGGTTCCAGGGAACAGGCTGCCATGTAATTTGAATGTAAGTGCTGCTTAGTATGTGTTTCACACTGTACTTGGTGGTATTGAGACAAGTGATATGAGGTGAAACTAAATGGGCAGTCAGCTTTTCCTTGAATTGCAGCATATGTTTTCAAGTACCGGTTTTTCTTCTATAACAATGAAGGGATCAAAATGCCACTGCCTTTTTCCTATCTATTTTTATACTCCTCATCCAAAGATCTCAAAGTGCTCTAACTGCTTGAAATAAGTGTCACAAACCCACGTGATGTATGAAAGGATCATCACACCCATTTTATGTATGGCTGATTTGAGTCTCTTGCCCAGTTTCACATACCGAGTGAAAAAAAGAGCCAAGAACAGAACCCAGGAGTTCAACTCCCTGTCCTTTACTCTACCCACTAGAGTCATTGTGAAGCTATTTAACTGTGTGCTGTTATCCTTAACAGTAAATTATCTATGCACCAAAATCACGCCAGATAAATCACATAGCTATTTTGATGCAGCTGCGGAAGGAATAAACAGAAAGAGTGTTCTGAGTATCATAAATC